AAAAAAAAAAAAAAGAAAAAAAAATTAAACATTTTGCTCTCCAGAACCTTTTTCTTTCCCTCATACTCGAACCAACCTCCTACTGCACCACGCCCCTACCCTTGCCACGCCCAGCGCCCGCGCCCCACGCTCGCGCCTTGTGCCCCGCTCCCTGCACCAGCCTTGCTATGCACCGGATCCCTTCACCTCCTGTGCCCAGATCTCTCCTTTGCACCAAGATCCCGCACAATCAAGCCCTTGCACGCCCCAGCCATCATGCCCCTACGCCCCTGCTGCTGCACCGAACCAGCCCTTCCTGCTTGTTGCACCGAACCCACGTTGCTTGCACGCCAGCCACTGCCGGCAATCATGCCCTTTGCACCGAGCCCACGTTGTTTGTAATAAGGGTTTCTAATTTAGTTTTTGGTGATTTTGTAATTTTGTTGAAATTAATGGGTAAAACCGATATAACAAAGGAATCGTGGGGGTGAAATTGGAAAGAAGATTGCATGTGAGATTGAACCGACGATTTTTTTGGTTCCATCGGTTACACCAGTTTTATTGGTTTTGATTGGTTTTGCCATACAAACGGTTCTTTTACGTGAACCGAACCATTTTCACCATCGAGTATTGATTTGACCGGTTCAATTGGCCGATCCGGTCCAATTTTAAAAACCTTGCCTTTTAATAGGATATGAGGATTGGACAAGCCAATTGGTTTTAGCAAGCCTTGTATTTTCACCTACAGGTCATATTTTCACAAGCTTAACCTTGATGGGATTATTATGTGGATCTTGAGGAAGTTATCTTAGCTTTGGTTCCTACTTGCTCATATAGCTAGTCTTATGGTCAATATACCATGATCCAAAGTTTAGCATCCTTTCCAAATTCAATGCATATTAAGAGGACTCAAAGTTTCTAAAGGGCATATTAAACCCGTTTGTTGTTATGATGTTGACGTGATTGAACTTGTAAAGTTGTAATTCATAACAAACTTGCATGTGTGGATGACGTGTTCAGTAAAAAAATTTTACATTAAAAAAATATTAATAAAATATGAATTAAATATAAGAAATGCTATTTCACTTATTGTCAATTAATTTTAAATTATAAATACAAATCTTGTGTTGAAACTTATATGTTCAATTTTCACAATATTATACATAAACATTATACACCTAAAATATTCCTTGATGTTTAAATATCATAATGTTCATGACTTTATTGATCAAGTCATGGCATCCACAACTTTCCTGCACGTGAGAAGGGCATGTTTTGTAAGAAAATCTAATTAAATATTAGAAATCTAACAAAAAAGTATGTGAATCATGATATCAAGCACATGAAGAGGGTGTGTATAAGTAGAAAAATAACATATTAGAAAAATGATGAAGAAGCATGTGAATTAAACATAATGATGATCACTCTCACTTACTGTCAATAAATTTTAGATTGTAGATGCAAATCTTGTATTAAAATCTACATCCATGTTCAGTTTTCACAATATTATACATCGACATTGTACACCTAGCATTTTCCTCGATATTTACATAACATGTTCGTAACTTTATCGGGTCATGGCACCCTCAATTTTCCCTCACACAAGCTCCAGTTATTGAGGTGAGAAGAGTGGAAGTTGTTTTTTCATAAAATGCACCTAGATAGTTTAAGAACTTATCCAGGTCCATAGCCGTTGAATTGGAATTTCTGTGTTCTTTCCTTCTCCTTTAAGAGTTGAGACTTTTCTAGAAGACCAGTGTGCATTATAATGCTATTGAGCATTATTATTGAGACTTTTCTATGTTTTTTCCATCATCTTGAGAGTGACATTTCTCTATCGGAGACTTTTCTGAAGTACAGTTTAAGAACTTATTCAGGTCCATAAACGTTGAACGGCGATTTCTATGTACTTTCCTTCTCCTTGGCAGTTGAGACTTTTCTAGAAGACCAGTGTGTGTATTATAATGCTATTGAGCATTATTATTGAGATTTTTCTATGTTCTTTCCATCATCTTGAGAGTGACTTTTCTCTACCGGAGACATTTCTAAAGTATCATGCTGTGGGCGTAGAAGAATTGATATGCATTTTATGGTGAACCAGCCCGAGGCCCAATGGTTCGCTTCCAAGTTTTAGGGTTTGGGTGAGACAGAAATCAGGGTTTCGAGTCCTATTACCGTCGTAAACTCCACCAACTTACGATTTAATGACTTCACGCTTCATTTGAGGGTGGAATGTTCACTATTTTGAGAATCTCAATTGCTAACAACTAACTCATACTAACTTTCTAACCATTACCTTTGTCAAAAAAAAAAAAAAATGAAAGATATGCATTTTATGTTCATTGCCTATTTTTCAAAAAAAGAAAAAGATATGCATTGCATGAGTAGATAGGGATCATATATACATTTTATTTTAAT